ATGGAAGAAACTGAGTGTCCTCTACAAGTGGCAATGGTTTTAAGTGCTTTGTCTTTCTCCTCAAGAGGATCAACAAAACTCTTGCCGGACTCTGTTTCGTCAGCTAAACTGCTTGGCCCATATAATTGCCAGGCCTGGCCCATTTTCCTGCTTAGACAAAATTAATCCCTCTCTGACTGTTTTCATCCATAAATTAACAACAGAAATTTGGAGGCCGGTCTTACTGTATGGACTTGTTTGAACTTAAATCCGTCAACGAAATTTATTTGTTATGAAGTCCGTTTTTTGTCAATTTTACCATATTATCCCTTCCCTTTAGAAATGAAATAAAACTAAAAATTAAAAACTCATAAATCTCTGGAGTTTAATTAACATTAAAATATGTTCTCTCTCATATCTATCTATAGGCTAAGAGTTTGATTAATATTAAAATTTTCTCTCTCTTTTATCTATCTATATTCATATATAAGTTAGGTATATATATAGTAACATTAAAAATAAAAAATAGTAATATTCAAATACAACAAAAATTTATCATTTAGACATAAAAAAATAATACATTTAAACACAAAAAAAATAGTAACATTTAAACATAAAAAAAAATTGAAACATTCAATATTAATATTTTTAAAAAATAACAACAGTAACATGTTCAACAAAAATATTAACATGTTCTATAAAAATAGTAATATGCTTAACAAAAATTGTAACATACTTAACAATAATTATTTTTTTCAAATTCAAACACAAAAAATAGTATCATTCAAATACAAAAAATAATAATATTAAAAAAAATTATAATATTGAATATTAATATTTAGGAAAATAATAATAGTAACATACTCAACAAAAATAGTAACATGCTCAAAATAATAGTAACATGAACAATAACATACTCAACAAAAGCAATAACATGAACAATAACATACTCAACAAAAGCAGTAACATGAACAATAACATAATAAAAAATAATAATAATATGAATTTGAATTTTACTATTCAAATTTATTGTAATTTTTTTTTGTATTTGAATGTTACTATTTTTTATTTTTAATGTTACTATATATATATACACATAACCTATATATGGATATAAATAGATAAGAGAGAGGAAAAATTTTAATGTTAGTCAAACTCTTAACCTATATATGGATATAAATAGATATGAGAGAGAAAATATTAACTTCTTTTTAAGGAAGGGTATTTTTGAGATAAAAAAATAAAGTGGACTTAAGTCATTACATATAATTTTAAATATGGACTTAACCCCTTATAAATTTTCTTGCAGGACGTATCTCCAAATAAGTATATCTAGGGGGACTCACTTCCAATTTTCACAATTAACAACCGAACGCTGTAGTTAATGGGCTGGTGTTTTAACTCCCAATCAAAATTGAGACCAAACCCACGGGTAGTTAAGTAGAGGTAGAGATGAGTCGTAAATGTAAGCATTTTGAATTTAAAATTTGACAATTATTTTGAATTCAGATCATGAATTTTTTAATTTTAGCGTGAATGATTTACCTTTGATCATATAAAACACAGACACGGAGATACAACAAAATTTTAAAAGATTGAACAAGGGGTACGACAAGGATACAATTATTAAAATAATATAATATGTTTTTTTAGATAATAATATAGTTATAATATATTAAAAATAAACCATATATTATATAATATTAATAACAAGACATAATAAATATTAATGTTTTGATTAATATTGAAATAAATTAAAATAAATATCCACCATTTTCATCAAACATCATTGTCTCTATTAACATTCACATCATATAAGTAAAATTCATATCATATAAGTTATATAACAAAAAATATATTAAAAAAATAAAAATCACATCCCTTTTAATAGTTAACAATAATTTTTTAAGAAGAAAAAAAAATTTGATCGTATCTTGGCTATGTTAGATTGAGTCTACTATTCAGAACACTTCTAACTGTAACAGACGTGTGTCCAATATTACCACGACACCTTTTCAAAAAATACCCATACTTCCTAACTTTAATCCGAACGAAAAGAGAATTGATCGAAATATACGCAAGTTAATTCTGATATAAATGCAAAAAAAAAAAAGTCAAGATACATACAAGTATCATCCCCGACTACTTTCTAATTTAAAGAAAAATCAAAACAGTAGCTGATCTGCAATTATTGGCGTCCTAACTTTGCTGATTTTTGCTAAACTCCGAAGAAATGGATGAAAGTATCAAGTCTTCCAAACTCATGCTGACCATATTTAAAGTTGAGATTTTGTGCATTATTTTGTCCTAACCCTAACCCTAACCCTAACCCTAACCCACCAGTCAATCTCTGAAAGTTCGACTTTTTAGAACTATTTTTTTGTCTTCTTAAATGCAAGCTCTCCTCATTCCTTTATTTGGTGGTTCTTCAAATAAGATGAAAAATGGTCCGCTGATATTTGAAGTATATATAATTACTTATAAATATTATATAGCTGCTCCATCATATCGTTTCTTGTAAGATTTAAATTTACGAACTCGAGATAATATTTTTTTTTATCTTGATTATATCTAATTCTCTTATTCGCTCTAACGAGTGGGGTTGCTTCTTTTAATGACAATCGCAAGAGTGTGTTGCCTAATGGAAGCGGCAAATTTCTCCAATCCATAGCAAACGAGTCCAACAGCCAACCTCAAATAATGCAGAGAAACTCAGTCAGCCAAGTGTAGAATAAATTCAGAATAAGGGATAACATTACGATATCGACTTTAAAATTGTATTGTAATTCGATTTTAATTTTAAATTGAAAGATTTATAATTATTAATCAAAAAAAAAACTAATAAAGTTATTACACATGCCACGATTTTATTAAATAAAAAAACTAATATAAAAAAAAATCATATTTCAATATCGTAAGACCATAGAATACAAGCCATCACCATTTTTGCTATATTTACTATCTTTTTGTCCAACAGAAAGGGACAGGAACGCCGATAAAGTCAATACAATCAGGTCTATTGCTGAGTTTGCGTGCTTCCTCCTACGATTAGAAGGTCTTTTAGGGTCATTGGAAACTCTCATTTTATCATGTTATTTTCATTTCATTTATTTATATAATTTGATGGTTTAATATATCATATTCATTGAATTTATTATTGATCTCAAATAATTGTAAATAATTAGGTTATTAAATTATGTTCATAAATTAGATTCAAGTAACATTATTCTCCATCTATAATATTTTTTCCATGTCTAAGTTCACAATCATTTATCCCAAAAAAATTACAAAAACAATCATTAAACCCATCCGAGGCTCTAAGATATTTGAAAACAAAAAAAACAAAAAAACAAAAAAAAGGCATATGCTGTTAATGAATCATAACTTTGACAAGAGGAAGGAATATCAATTCTAAAACCGTAAAGAGAATGGATTTACAATGTGTATCAAAATCTTAAGCATAAATTCTAGTAATTAAAATGGTTTTGAAAATTTCACAATTCAATTTTTAATCATTGGTTACGAAATAGAAATACGAATTCGAGATACTATGGATATATATAATAACATGGCAAAACCTACAAAATTAGGATACATGTACGCTTAGGATCCATCTATGAGAAGGTGTATTTGATAATTTTATTACAATCTAACAACTTGATAATTATAATTTCTATTAAGTTCTTCAACAATAATACAAATAATTAGCAATTTTTTATTTTCAAGAAAATTTCAATCATATTATTATTGTATATCCATAAAGCGAACGTGACTAATTAATGAAATCATAAGTAAGATTTAACTAGTTGATTTGCTTAAAAATCGTTATTGTCAAGAGATATTATATTTTATACTCAAACTCAAATGAATTTTTTCTTCACATATTGCATTATACGTGAATTTTAGAGGTAAAGGTAACGATTAAAATTAAAAATTATTTATATTTCTATTCATATCTATTTTCTATATAAAGTATATATGTTGTGGATCCATGATAGTAAAGTATTCAAGTATTTTATTATTATTGAATACATTTATAGAATGGGGAGAATCCCAAGATTCCTAGAGTGTCTGAAGTACGTGTCGCCCAGCATTATTGTAGTTCCATTCATATGCACCCAATTCCATGTTCGATTTTCCAGCCAATAATGTGGGCTTGTCTAGACTTCTATCCGTTGAAAAAAACAAACAAAATAAGGCATTTGTTATTTTGTTTTATTGGTTGACAAGTAACCCTCTTTTCGGTCCAATAAAAAGTAAGTCATTCACGATGATATTAGTGTATTTATCGGAGATAAATCTCTTATAATTTGGACTCAAAGAATTACCAAGATTCAAATTCAAAATGTCTAGACTTACGACTCGTCCTTATTATCACTTGAGCAACTTTAGAGTTGTGTATTTTACTTCTTTGTTTGGACAAAATGGAGAAAATACTATTTGTGTAATTGGCCATATAACCCTTTAGAACTTTACTTGGTCGAAGTGCACAAGCGAAGAAGGTTTTTTAAAAAACTTCTACCTACATGGTGAGCCAAGGAAGAAATTGGATGTTGACAACCAAGAACTTGACCAAACACAATGCAATAAATCAAATAGGAAACAAAACTACAAAAAACAGTATTTCAGTTGCTGCACACAGCTAGTCATGCAGCAAGCATAGAGTAAATTATTACAAAAAAATATTGTTATTTGAAACTAATTTATTAATTTCATTCGTTGACATAATATATTATAATCATTAAATTGATTACGAATCACAACTAATATTAAATTTTATCGACAATTTAATGACGGTAATTCATTAGATGAATTATTAGGGTCAAGTGGCATTGCCCAATTATGACTACCCCAGCATCAAGTCTACTCTAAGCGCCGGTCAAGAAAGTTTGTTGACCATACAGCATAGCCCCCCGGTCCCTCACTATATATCTTCCTGCTTGCCTAAACTTATTTGCAACGTATATTTGTCAACAGTTAGCTTGTTACATGCTGAAGTGAAAGTGAGAGAGAGAGAGAGCATGGGTGAGGTGGTTGAGGAAAGTGGCATCAACCCACCGGCAATGGACACAGACTTGGTGGCTCCGGTGGTCTCAGCCCCTCCCATGCAGATGCAGTATAGCACACCATCGTGGTCCAGGAAACCACTGCTCTCAATAGAACATCCAAATGCTGCAAGCAACGATAATAATAATACCCTCCAAAACTCTCGCACTCCAAACTTCATCTCACCCTTGGGTAGCCCTATAAGGAGAGCTCTACAACTCACCAAGCTTGATTCTCAAGATGCTTGGCTTCCCATCACAGAGTCCAGGAATGGCAACGCCTACTATGCTGCCTTCCACACTCTTTGCTCTGGCATCGGAATTCAAGCACTTGTACTCCCTGTTGCCTTCACCAATCTTGGCTGGTAAGCCTTAATTTTTACAAACACATTTACAGTTTGCTTTGGTTTTTTTTCAAAAATTGATACTACTTTACGTGCTTTAGTGGCCTTGTTCAAAGATGACGTTCATCTTGTAATTTTCCAAACTATATATTTTTGTTTCATTTAGATCAGACAGAGAAGACCATGGTCTTCGAAGTGTATTTGCTAGGCACTCCATGAAATTAACGTTTTGAAGTTTGCTGCAATATTTGCCGGTAGACTTTTTGGAAAGAAAGAAAAACTACAAAATCAAATAGGATTACATTTGAAAGCAGTACTCTCGTGATTATGCAAGAAAAAGCTGAATCTCACATGATATAAAGTCTATTTCATTGGGTATCAGCGATGCATACATAGAAATCCCTTTTTTTACATCTCACATGATATACATGATCGGTCCTTTTGACATCCTCATACATAATATGAACCAATGGACCTTAATATGAAGTACTCTGTGTTCAAAACCTGCATTTAAAAATTAATTTTTAAAAGAAGGGTATCCAAAAATTTATATACGTACACTCAGGTTCATATTTAGACGATGGAGTACTGTGTGGCTGCATGGAATTCCACTGCATCTTAACTCAAGTGATTAAGATGTGAAGTTGAAACTAGTCAACAACTGGCCTGGGGTTCTATTCGAGTTGTAAATTTAAGCCAATGGAAAGAGTTTGGTGCTTGGTCTCCAGAATTTCGTTTTAATTCCATATATGTATCTTTCTTTGAGCAGGACGTGGGGGATTATTAGTTTGACAGTGGCATTCATATGGCAGCTTTACACCTTGAGGCTTTTGGTCAAGCTTCATGAATCCACTGAAACTGGGATGCGTTACAGTCGATATCTCCAGATCTTCAGTGCTACTTTTGGTAACATTATCCAAACACGATACGATACAATTTACTTAAGACCCAATTTGAAATTCTGTAGTAAATGATTTATTAGGTCTATCTAATTACAGGTGAAAAAATGGGGAAAATCTTTGCTTTGTTTCCGATCATGTACCTATCAGGTGGCACCTGCGTTGCCCTGATCATTGTTGGTGGTTCAACCTCGAAGCTCTTCTTCCAAATCGTATGTGGTGGGCATGGTTGCTCGGCGAAGCCATTAGCAAGCGTGGAATGGTATTTGGTGTTTACATGTGCTGCCGTTGTTCTATCTCAGCTGCCCAACTTAAATTCCATAGCTGGAGTTTCCCTAGTCGGGGCAATCACCGCTATCGGCTACTGTACAATAATGTGGTTTGTGTCTGTGACAGAGGGTAGGCTTGATGGGGTTTCCTATGATCGAGTGAAACCGGAGAGCAATATTGTTTGGATTTTTGGCATTCTAAATGCTTTTGGGATCATTGCTTTTGCTTTCAGAGGCCACAATCTTACACTTGAAATTCAGGTACATATATGCTCCACTTCTTGTCACTTTTTTTTTCCCAACGGTTAAGGGGTCTTCGGCTAGTTTATGCACACTTTCATTAGTCTCTTTCTTGATCTAATCAAATACAGGTCATCTACACCAGAATTAGAATATTCATGAGGGAGAAAAATCTTTCAATACCTGATCTTTAAGTAGTTGTTAAAATTTAAATTCAGAATATCTGAATTTATAACTCGTCTTTATTACCATTTGAGCTAGAGTTCATTTTAATAACTATAAAAACCTATTGGGTTGGGGTATGCCCAACACATTTTTGGCTACACTTTAAACTTGAGATGATACCACTCAAGTCACGGACAGTGGGATTATCTTCTTTCTCTAGCCGATTCAATGACTTGAGTGGTATCATCTCATGTTAAAATTTATTCAATTCATACCTCTAACCTAGTTATAGCCATATATATAGTTGAGTTCATGTCATGTGGAGTTTGGGTAGCATATAAGTATGATCAGAATGTTTCTAGACTAACTTCATACCCACTAATTTTGTTTCAATTTCATATCACGATGGTGGATCGTGTTAAAAATTGTCAAGTTTTATTTATAATAAGGGGTTATAGAGAAATGATACCTGGAATTTTAAACGCTTGACCTAGTAGTTGTCAGGTATTTGGGTAAAAATCATTCACATAAGCACTTTTGGTTGCAGGCTACCATGCCTTCCAGTGAAACGAAACCATCTCACATACCAATGTGGAGAGGGGTCCAAGTTGCTTATGTGATCGTTGCGGTGTGTTTGTTTCCCCTTGCAATTGGAGGTTATTGGGCTTATGGCCGCAAGGTATATATATATATATATAATCACTTGTATTCTCCATATAAGATTCAATATTAACGAACATAAATGTTAAACTGAATCATGCAATATGATTCTCGTTTCAGATACCTGAAAATGGAGGAATGCTGACAGCAATATACGCATACCACGGGCGCGACACTTCACCAGCTGTTCTGGGATTAACAAGCTTATTAGTCATAGTAAATGCTGTAAGTTCATTCCAAATTTATGGCATGCCAATGTTTGACCACATGGAATCCAAGTACACCAGCAGGAAGAACATGCCATGCCCCTGGTGGCTGAGGGCGGTTTTTCGGGTCATGTTTGGTTACGGGTGCTTCTTTGTAGCCGTAGCAATCCCATTCTTGGGAAGCTTTGCAGGTCTAATTGGGGGAATAGCGGTGCCAGTAACCTTTGCCTATCCCTGTTTCATGTGGATTAAGATCAAGAAGCCGAAGAAATATAGCATAATGTGGTGGATAAATTGGGGATTAGGAGTTTCCGGCATGTTACTGGGTGTTCTGTTGACTGCAGCCGGTATTTATGTTGTGATTGACACTGGCATTCAAGTTAGCTTTTTCAAGCCTAACTAATTCAAACAAGGAGGGTGATGAAGTAGTTTCATGTTTGTTTTATGTTTTATTTAGATGTTATGGACATCAAATACTATTTCTTGTAATGTGTGACCAATATTTATTTATGATTATTATCCACATTTTATTTCCCATAGATTAAGATTTTGACTGCTAGTGTGCTAAATTTAATTAATCTAGTTTTCTTATGTCAAGTCAAACAGCCGATTAGTTCACTACCTGAATAAAGGATGAAGTTCATGTTTAAGTATCCTCCGGCTAGTTTCTCGTGAACCAAGGTATATGTTAAGTTAAGCGACTCAACTCTTTCCTATGACTAAGCTCTTGCTTGCAACTATGTAACATATTACCCTATCTCCGGTACGAGCAAAGCAAAGGGTGAACTAAAACTAGTAACATATAACCAAATAGGCAGGACTGATGTTTAAAGGCTAAACTTAAATCAAGATCAACCTTTCATGATACCAAATCATCGANCCTCCGGTACGAGCAAAGCAAAGGGTGAACTAAAACTAGTAACATATAACCAAATAGGCAGGACCGATGTTTAAAGGCTAAACTTAAATCAAGATCAACCTTTCATGATACCAAATCATCGACACATAATATCACTATGCATTTATGGTTATAGCATTTATCGGTGGCTATCGATATGATGAATATCTACTCAAAAAAATTAATCAAACGTGTGTCATACGTACAACTAGGGCCAAGTGTGTTGCCATAGTATCACGTATTTTAAAAAGAGACTTGTTTTCATAAGCTTTGCAAAGTTAAAAACCCCTAAATCAGACCTGATCCTGGAATTGCAGGTCTAAAGACCTGAAGTAGCCATAAAAACCAGTAGTTAGTGAGAGAATGACAAAACGTGGATAATATTCAGCATCCATCAATGTACTGGCCACATTAAGAGTTGTAAAGGACCATATTTCATATTTCATATTTCAGTGTTCCTGTAAATATTATTACAATAACTATCCGTCAATCAATGTACTCACGATAGGCGATAGCACTTCAAGAACCTGATCCTAATGGTTAGCTAATTTGAAAAAATATAAGACAATGTACATGCTGTCATACCAAACAGCAGTGCAGGATTTTGCTAGAATTCTNCAATGTACTCACGATAGGCGATAGCACTTCAAGAACCTGATCCTAATGGTTAGCTAATTTGAAAAAATATAAGACAATGTACATGCTGTCATACCAAACAGCAGTGCAGGATTTTGCTAGAATTCTCATTTTCACATCCATGAAAATACAATGCAACCTTAGCCCCCCACCCCCAACAAGGGGAAAAGAAAAAGAAGTGCAATTGCAGACGCCAATAAAACAAAAAGTGGATGGACCAAAAGCCATGGTCAAGAATTCTCATAATTTACAGAACAAAGTTGGAGCATATGAAAATGAGTTGCAGTGCCATGTGATTCTACATCGATAACGGAAGAAGCATTCTGCGTTTCTTTTTTCGGGCCAGTCTTACTTGCTTTGTGATTTTCATGCATAAAAGCAGAAGCAATGTGATGCATACAAGGATGAAAGCAAGTCTCAAATGCCTGAAATATAATGAAACAGCTGAGAAAACGAGGAATGCCAAAACAAGGAGTTCCCATATTACAAATACCACAACATCCACCCTGCATCCAGAAAAACCCAAAAAATGCAATAACAAGCGTATCAGTAGTGACTAGGCAAAACAATTGCACAAATAATATAAATCCAATCCAAAATCACGGAAACAGAGATTTGAGGACATAAATGCCCCTGCCAATCTAATAACCTGATGAGTCTTCCCAAAAAGAAAGAGCATTAACTAGTTATACAAATAGATAAAGGATGTCTTCAACAAGGAATGAATCCTAACGCTCGAATGCTTAATGTTTCCAGGTATTTTATTCTTTTCTTATGTATATCTAAATTTAATGGTGTTTCGATCCATTCTTAATATGACCAATTCACTGATTCCCAAAATGAAACAATCTATGCGCACATCAAAATTATTGATGCCCAAAAATGTTATAGGTGATATACTCTGAAATTCTGATGCTTGCATCAAGCTGCACTCTATCACTCCCAATTATAGCGAAAGGTCAAAAACCTAGAAACAGCACTGTGTGTGTGTGTGTGTATGCCACACAAGGTGCAAGTTTAAAAAAAAGGCCAACTAATTAGTTGGTGTGAATCAACCGCTTCACAATGGGGAAAAAATTACAAAAATGAGGTATTGCAAGTAATTTTAAGCCTCGCGATCTCTAAATTTCGCATGTAAAACAGATAATGAAGAAACATCTTTTGTTCAATAAAGTGAATCTATAATAACTTCAATACATTAAACCTCTCATTCTAAGTTTCTGTAAACTACTAGGAACAGAAACAACATGTATCCATCACCATTTTAAAACCAGTGAATCAAGTCAATCAACTAATTTTTGCCTAGAGGTAGGCCAATATCAGTTGTTTTAGGAAACAGTTGCTGAAACCAAATATTTTCACCATGGACTCCTCAGCCAAACTACATCCAGAAAAACACACAACCATTTGGTAAAATTTCATGAAAGCTCGGCAACAATCTTCCTTAATAGTAAGGTCATCAAAAAGACTGATTCAAATCATCTTCCCACAATGTCTTATATCAAGTTTGTGAAAACAAAACAAAACAACAAGTCCAATCCAAAATAAATCATCAACAAACCAGCATGCTTGGTTCATTCCTATACTCAACCTAGAAAAAGAGAAAATATTCAATGTAATGGTCTCACAACGGCATCACCGCCACGTGGTGCCACCAATAGGAAAACAACAGAGCAAGGGAATCACATACAATTCAATAACTACCCATTCATGTAAGCCAATAACCACCTCATACAAAGTAGTGGGGTTCATTTCATCCATTTATTTGTGTGACATGGCGGTTACATTCAATATTTATTCATAGAAAACAATGCACAATTGACCTGAATTGAATCATACTCAACATCTTATTCTTCGTATAAAAAAGAAATGTATTGTATGTTGTAAACCACGTTTCGTTTTTAACATCATTAATAAAGGGCAGGGGCAGTTTTCAATCCTTCACTCATATCTAACCAGTTACATTACAAGAAGTTGGAAACCACTCTCAACCAACTACATATTGTGTTTCAATTGATAAAAAAGGACACTTTTTATGTACGATACAAGTAGTTTTGTTTTAACATTACAATAGAAGTAGTTAAAAAGTACTCCTCAACATAACCTTGTAAGTGTGGTGGTAGCTATATCTATACTAGCAGGCATCCTGCACGAAATTTGTTATCGCTTCCTCCCATCAAACCCTACCTAACCTTAATTACTGAACAATTCCTCATTAATGTGTTAATAACTTCATATTTGACTGCCATTTTGGAAATACGGTGAAAAAACAATAATTCTCAATATTCTCCATTAATGATCTGTACAGTCATCAAAAATCTCATAAATGACTCCTCAGCAGCAAACCACTTTTCCATGTAATCCTAAATACATTAAAAAGGGCATAACAATGAATGACACTGCACAATTTCTCGTATGGTCGATCCTTCGATAGTTCCAAATTCATGTTTCCAATCTTTTCATATGCATATTTTGTATAGGAATATGAGAACTCTAAATTAGCAGCAGTTCCAATCAGATAATTGAGAAATAAGTCTGAAACACATAAAACATATGTGCAACGATTCTAAATTGAAACCCTAAAAAGGAAAAGCACGAAAGAACGAAATTTTGGTAAAGATCGAACTGTAATTGGATGGAAAACCAGACATTGAATAAAGCGATACCTTGAATAGGCGATATTAGAGGTAGAGGAGAAGAAAGAGACAGAAGCCCAGTCGTGTTTCGATCGAATCTGGTACTCTCTCAGCTGCTCCGCCAGATTCGAACGCGTTATCATCGCTGCGTGACCTCTCGTCTCTCCCTGTCTCTCTCTCTCTCGTCTCTCTCTCCTATTATCTTTGTTTCGATTTGTCTACAATTCGTGGGTCATTTCCGATGGCGTCTTCGCATTGAGACAGCGAAGACTCAATTTGAACTAGACGGAGGAACAAGAAGAGAGAGAAAGAGAGGGGAACGAAAAGCAACAACGTTCCTCCGGGCTATTTTCATTTCTAATTTTTAATATCCAAAAAAAAGAACTTTCATTTTTTTCGGAATTTTTTTTTATCTCGATCGGAAATTAATTAATTATTCGTTTAGTTTTTCATTTCGATTTTTGTGTAGGATTAGGTCTAATTTCAACTTCCACTCTGAAAAATCACTCAAATTTTAATTTATTCCTTTAAAAATATTAATTTACACCCAAAAAAATACAAATACGTATCAATGTGCACCTGAAACTAACTGTTATCTATTTTATTGTTAAAAAAATTTGAATTAATTATAAATTATACCCCTCAAAGTTTAAATATTTCACATTTGTATTCTAAAAAAAAATCATCCATTAATACTAGTTGAGTAACTCTCAATTATATCGTATCACGACATTTTTGTGTCGTATTCGAATCAATAAAAAAATATTTTTAACAAAAGAATATTTTTATGTCGAGTCAATTGCGTTGTATCATATATTTTACATTTACGACAATCATATAATACTATTTAATATTATTAAAAAAAATAAAAAATATATATCTTTTATTTATAATACTTGTTAAATAATTATTTTTTGTCTACAGTTGTGTTATTCATATCTAACTTTAATTTGATCGGATAATCAAAAAATTTATATCTAACTGTAGACAGAAAATAACTATATAACGGACATTGTAAGCAAAAAATAGGTATTTTATAATTTTTTTAAAATTTTGAAAAAGTATTTTTTTTATTGACTCGAATACAACACGAAAATATATAATATGATACAATTAAAAGTTGTTTAACAAGCATTAATGGATGATTTTTTTTTTGGGTCACAAATATGAAATATTTAAACTTTAAGAGGTATAATTTCTAATTAGCCTAAATTTTTTTAACAGCAAAATGGATGGAGTTAGCCCCAGATGCGCATTGATACGAATTTATATCTTTCATGATGTAAATTAATATTTTTAAATATTGAGAGTACAAATTAAAATTTAAGTGACCTTTGGGAGTGCAAGTT